TGTCCTTGTTGTTTGGTAGGCCCAGGCTGGATTCAAACCTGCCAGCTCTGGTGTATGTGGCTGGCACCTTAGCCACTTGAGCTACATGCGCTGAGCCCCTTAAGAGGTTTACAGGAGTCTGGATTTAAACGTGTGAAAAATGGCTGACAAGAATTAAGTGACAGTTCAGAAAACTCCAGATCTTTTGAATACTAGAGGAAATGGAGTTCTGGATAATAGCCTATTTTATTTCATTAAACTTTTAACCTTTTTCCTCCCTCTTGATATAATTACCAATTCCCCCTTGTATTCTTTTTAATAAAATAATTGTAGGAGGGGGTCCCCCTGTATTCTTAAACTGGACATACTGAATATAGATTAACCTTCTTTTGAAGATCATAGTTACGGACATTGGCTAATGTTACCTGAGAGATGAGCTGTAGGAACAAATGATATAAATTGTAGTCTTGAATGAAAATCGCCTGCAAATTGACCTTCGGATAAGCTTTCTTGCAAAAGTTCTGGGTGGGCTGGGTGCTGTGGTTCACACCTGTACTATGGGAGGCCAAGGGAGGTAGATTGCCTGAGCTCAGGACTTTGAGACCAGCCTGAGCAAGAGCCAGACCCTGTCTCTAAAAAAAATAGCCTGGTGTTGTGGCAGGCAACTGTAGTCCCAGCTGCTTGGGAGGCTGAGACAAGAGGATTGCTTGAGCCCGAGAGTTTGAGGTTGCTGTGAGCTGTGACTCTGTGGCACTCTACCAAGGGCAACAAATTAAGACTGTGCCTCTAAAAAAAAAAGTTCTGGATGTCTGTTTTCTCTTTGGTTGTTTCCTCTGTACTGATAACATTAGTTTGGAACTCTTAATTATTTAACAGATGTAATAAATACTGAGCATTGTGCTAGGACCTGTAATTTGTCCGCTGATTCTCTAATTCTGATTTTCTCTAAACTCCGCAGAGAACATTGTTTTTCTTTTTAGGACATTTTCTTGCTATTAATGTCATCATTATTAAATATCTCATTTCCAAGTCATCAGTGAACTATAGTTACCTGTCAACTGGCAACCATTCTATGTCAGGTATATTCTCTTCACCCAGATAGTCTAAAGGAGAAGTGTCTCTCATCCTTTCAAGAATTTGATGTTCTTGAGAGTCTGTATCTGAAAGTAAAATTCTACATTACTAGGGAGTAAGATTGTGCTTGCTTAGATGTGATAGAGAGCTACAGTTTTCATCAGTTTTTTAAATATATTTTTAGCAGAGTTATGAGATAGTGTTGAAGATAACATCTTTAATAGAATAATAAAGTTGTGGGCAGTGCCTGTGGCTCAATGGGTAGGGCACCAGCCCAATATACTGAGGGTGGCGGGTTGGAACCCAGCCATGGCCAAACTGCAACAAAAAAATAGGTCTTCTGGTGGGCGCCTGTAGCCAGCTCTTTAGGAGGCTGAGGCAAGAGAATCACCTAAGCCCAGGAGTTGGAGGTTGCTGTGAGCTGTGACGTCACAGCACCTACTGAGGGCGATCAAGTGAGACTCTGTCTCAAAATAACAAAAAAAGGTTGAAAGATAGGTTACAGTTTCTGCATGTTGGGTCAGAATTTCTCATAAAATAATAACATTTTATACTTGTTATAGTCACCCTGGGTAGAGTGCAACTCCTAGGCTCAAGTGGTTCAAGTGTTTTTTAAGCTGAAAGAGATAAGATTGTTGGCAGGAAGATAATAAGCTGATATGAGCTTTATTTTCCTAGGCAGAGCTCTAAACTTACCTAGCATCCTAGCTCTTTTGGTCTCAGATAAGCCTGTAGCTTCAAAATCATCTTTGTTTAAAAAAATCAAACAAAGTAACATTTTTCTGTACATTAGCCTCAGGGGTCCTCAAACTTTTTAAACAGGGGGCCAGTTCACTGCCCCTCAGACCATCAGACGGCCAGACTGCGGGCTCCAGGACGAGTCGGCTGCTAAGCAGGACAGGCTGGGGCGGCAAAAACACCTGGTGGGCCCGATAACTGTCCTAGGCGGGCTGCATGTGGCCCACGGGCCCTAGTTTGAGGAAGCCTGGACACTCTTCCAGCAGCAGATAACTAATCGACACCTGTGAAAAGTGTAAGGCAATGGCAATTTTGAATTCCTTTTGCTTCATTTTATAGGAGCCTTCAACACTCGAACAAGTGAGAATATTGAGCATGCCTTCTGATTTTTGCCTGGGAACACAGATTTATTGGCACCTGCCTTTGGCATCCTTTGTTAAAATAGTTTTTTAAGAGTACTGGCTATATTGTGTGTGTGCGTACACACGAAAGGGGTGTCTGGAAAGTACCCAGCCATTTTTAATATTATTTTTCATATCACATGGCTGGATATAGATATCTATTTATATATAGGCTGTTTGGAAAGTATAGATTTATCTATATCCATTCTACCTGTCTGTCCATCCATTCATCCCAGAGAGAACAAAGTTTAGATGTTCTATTAAAGTGATACATTTAAACTTCTGCTTCATAGCTTATTAATTCATTATCTCATGGTTTGATAACTGCTGTTCATGATGTCTTAAAATCTTACAGGTTAACTTTCTAGTCTTTTTTGAATCAGAACTATTCTTTGAATTTGGGAATTATAAAAGCTTCTGTGTCCATTAGAATAAAAGGCTCTGAACCTTTGTTTTCATCTCATGTGATGACCTGGTGCTCCGAGGTTGGTAGGGTGGCTCTGCTTCATGAGATCATCCAGAAGCCTAAGCTTTTTGTGTCTGGCTCAGTCATCCTTTAAAGCAACAGTTCTAAAACTGTGGTCCATGGATCCTTAAAGTCAAAACTATTTTCATAATAATACTAAGACATTATTTGGCTTTTTCCTATGCTGTTATGATGTATAAAACTGCTGATGCCTTTGTATGAACCAAGGCAGTAGCAGCAACTGTTAGTAGTCATGTTTTTTTGTTTTTGTTTTTGTTTTTTTACCAACATGTATTCTTTCAAAAAGCCTCTTGTTTCACTTAAGAATGTATTTGATGAAATAGTAAAAATGTATTTTTACTGAATATTAACTTTTAAGACAAGTCTAAAGTATTTTGTGGTGAGATAGGAGGTACACACAAGACACTTCTATAGAATACTGCATTATGTTTGTTATTTTGAGGAAAAGTACTTGTGTAATTTCTCAGTTGCAAAATGATGTTAAGGAACATCATTTTTCCTTAACAGAACAATTCTCAGATAACTATGCCTATTCATATTTGGGTATTTGGCAGGTAGTTTCCTGAAAATGAAGGAAGGAAGCCTGTCACTTAAAGGAAAACAACTTAAAGTATTTGTTGCCAGTGGTAATGTTCGAATCTTCAAGTGAAAATAGAAGTTTAGAAAATCTCTGCTGGCTTTCAGTACTTAAAACTTTTTTTGATAAGTGATGACAGTACTAAATGTGAATTTTTGCTATGGTGGAATGAAATGTGTCAATTTTTGAAAAATCTGCATAACTTGGTAAAACTGTATTTTCTAAATATTTCATGGAGTGATGTTGCAAATACTTTGGATAAATAATCTATTCAAAGTGCAAGTCAAATCAATGGATTTCAGTGTTAACAGTATGAAAAACTAAATTAGTTTCAATCTAAAACTGATTAATTCAGATTCTACATTGCAACTCACCTTAAAAAAACTACCACTTGGTTTTGGGATGGTATCTAAGAAGAATATCCACAATTTTATGAAAATGCTACCTAAATATTTCTTTCTTTTCTAAAAGTGTATCCGTGGGAAGTTGAATTTTCTTCATATATTTCACAAAAACAACACACTGCAGTAGACTGGATGCAGAAGTAAATATGCGAATATTTCTGGCTTCTACTAAGCTACATATTAAAGAAATTTACAAATGTAAAATTGGATTTTCTCACAAAATTTTTTTGTTTAGGACGTGGTTATTTTTCATAAAAATGTAACGTTAACATATAATGGGTTTATTGCTATTTTTAAATGAATTGATAAACATTTTTTAAAAGTCTCAGTTTTAATTTCTAATATGGTAAATATCAATAGGTACAACCTATATAAATAATAGTTCTGTAAGGCCTTTAATTTTTAAGAGTGTAAGGAATCATAAGACTAAAAAGTTAGAAAACTGCTACCCTAAGTTTCTTTTTTATGGTCAGAGGTAACTCACTATGTTTTAGCCAGGACAAAACAGAAGAGGAGGACAAGCTCCTTTTCTTTTTAAGGAAGTTTTTTTTTTTTTTTTTAAATCACTTTCACATACATCTAATCCTTAGAACCTAGGCAGAAGTTGCAAGGCCACACATAATGTTTAGCTGGATGACCATGTGTCCAACTAAAAAATTCTGTTACTCTATGAGAAATGGGGAATAGATATTGGCATTTGTCTCTGCCACTGGCCATTGTCTGGATAAAAAACAAAAATAGTAATAATTGCTATTTTTAGGATGTCTTATAGTTTGTATGGTTTATCTCATTGTGTATTTCTAACAATCCAGTAGTTTGTATGATTTTAAAGAAGCCAAAAGGGAAGCCCAGACTCTGTCATTTAACTCAAAGTGATACAGTAAAGATAGATTGAATTTGGTAATCAAACAGCCTTGGATTTAAATCCTGACAACTAATTTTAGATTTACTAAAGTGTGAACTGAGACAACCCTCCTGAGCTTCTCTATCCTGTTTTACAAAATGAGTTTGTAACGGCATATCTTGGGAGATTATTGTGTGAATTATGTGAGATAACATATGTGATGTGTTTAGTACATGGTGATTGTTTAAGAAATATAGCTCTGTGGTTCTGTGCCTGTGGTTAATGCGCCAGCTACATGCACCGTACTTGCACATGAACCCATCCAGGGCCAGCTGAACAACAATGGCAAAAAAAAAGAAAGAAAAAAATACAGCTCCGGCCAGGTGGTGTGTGGCTCATGCCTGTAATCCCAGCACTCTGGGAGGCCAAGGTGGGCAGATTGCCTGAGCTCACAAGTTGGAGACCAGCCTGAGCTAGAGCAAGACCCTGTCTCTAAAAATAGCCAGGCATTGTGGCAGATGCTAAGGCAAGAGGATCATTTGAACCCAAGAGTCTGAGGTTGCTGTGAGCTATGACAGTACAGCACTCTACCTGGGTGACAAAGGGAGACTCTGTCTCAAAGAAAAAAGGAAGACGTCTGCTTCTCTCTCATCCTTTCTTCCCTTCCCTCTATCCCATCATAACAGAGCTGTCCTATGTAATTAAACGTTTTAATAATACCCAGAGGACCATGTGATTAATTGCTAAGCATTATAGTTTGAAAGTGTCTTAGAATCTGAACTTTGAACGGGACCGGGAGGAGGTGTAGCATTTTGAAAAAGTAGAGGACTGAAGAGAAGGTATTTCAGGTGAGTGGAATAACAAGAACAAAACATTGAACTAAAAATCCCTAAGGCAGAGAGGGTATCATTCTGGTTAAAGGCATCAATTAGAATTCAGGTGTCCTCAAACTACCGCCGCAGGCCCAATGCAACCCGCCTGCCTAGGACATTTATCCGGCCTGCCAGGTGTTTTTGCCGCCACTGCCTGTCCTGCTTAGCAGCCCACTCATCCTGGGGCCCCACAGTCCGGCCCTCCAACAGTCTGAGGGACAGTGAACTGGCCCCCTGTTTAAAAGGTTTTAGGACTCCTGAATTAGATTTTTGCAAAATTCAAGTGGGTAAGAGTAATAGGAGGTAGTGGGAAGGTCCTTGGGAAGTAGGCAGGTGCGCTGGATTGGTTAAGAACAGTTATAGAGACTTTGTTCTAATGGAGGCTGTAGGTAAAACTTTCTAACACAAGATAGAAAAAAATGAAAAGTGCCTTAAGAAATATATAGAATAAGTACTTTAAAAGTTCTTAAGGAGGGGCGGTGCCTATGACTCAAAGGAATAAGGTGCTGGCCCCATATCCCGGAGGTGGGGGGTTCAAACCCAGCCCCAGCCAAAAAAAAAAAAAAAAGTTAAAAAGGAAAGGTGATTACTTCTGACAGTGAGAATCTGGCTGTATAATTCTGTTCTTGTATGAATTTAATTTATGCTTATTTACAATGAAAATTATCACTTTATAGTTTTACTACAAATGTCATTTGAGGATTAAATAGAAATATCGACCACAAACAAGAGAAGATTATTGTGGAAAAATAGAATTTATATTGTTGTTGAGAACCTCTGAAATTTTTTTACATGACTTTTGGCATCTTCATAAGTTTCATATTTGGACACTTTTAAAATAGTACTTTATCCTGAAATTTTGGAGAGATGAAAAACTATTAGAGAATCAGTGTGAAGGAACAATATTATGAATTCTGATAAACTGAACCTTTAAGCTTGTTATTTGCATATTTGAAAATTCTTTTATATTTTAATAGTAATAAAGATTACATAGTCTGTATTGACAATTTGTCTTACTTAGGAATGCAGCTGTTTGTCATTCATGTTATCTCTATATTACAGTATTAAATAATTATTTTATATAGTAAACCAAAGCAGCTTGTATGTAAAGTTTGATTTGTTTGGAGTTTTTGTGTGTGCTTTTGCAAAGGTTGTTAAATTTTATTATTCCATATAGACATAAATATTTCCTAACTTATAGTTATAAAATATACATAATAAATTTGGGAGAAAACATTTCCCAGACATTTCTTTGAAAATAAAGTTTTTGATTTTTTTGCCTCATTTAGGTCAAAGTTGGAAATTGCAATACTCCTAAACCAAGCTTCTTTGATTTTGAAGGAAAGCAAAAATGGTAAGAAATTCTTAGTATCTTTAATGATGTTGTTGGGAATGGCTTAGGTGTTTAGGTGTTAGAAAGTAGTGAGCGGATTAACAGGTATTTTTATATTAATCCCTCTCTGCTACAGACTGTGCTAATGACAAGCAATTGGGAGAGGGATTAAAAGAATCTGCTTTTAGCTAAGTCTCCTAAAGGATTTTCTTATGTCAGGGTATGGGTGTAAGGAGTTCACAGCAGGCATACATACCTTACATATTTGTAGTAGGAGAGTACCCACAACAGCTGTTGCTTGAGATTTTCCTTTCCTACCATACAGCCCCTACTGAGTTGCCACTTCTCCCCTCTGTAGGGATCTTTGGAAGAAAGCCAGAAGGATGGGAAGAGGGAAGAACAGAATAAATCCCCATTTTTCACTCCTCTGTTCCCCTGTTGTAATTTTATCTAATTATCTGTGGATGCTCCTCTATTCTTGCCCCACCCACACCGCAGGAAACAGTGCTTATAATATTTTCTTGAAAGGGGAAGAAGCCCCAAAATCAGATACTGAGTCAATCTTTGAATGTGTAAAAAGATTATACTCTCCCTAATTTTTTTACTTACAATTCAGAGGTTCCCTCTTATCATTTATTAGGCCTTATTATTTCTTACTTTGTGTAAGTGAAAAAAGAGAAATTGTATACAATAGGGCATCTTAGTTATAAAAGAGAAGACTTTGGGGCATAAACCCTGGAATTAAAAGAAATACAGAGAACAGAGTTTCTTATTTTAAAAAGATGAAATATGGTTATATAGAGGGGAATTGCTTAAAAGAGGGATTCTGACTTTACATTTAGAATAGTCCTACACAGAATTTGATCCACTGGATAAATTGCCTATCTGCCAACTGTTTGTTACCCAACTGTGAGAAGATACAGAGCTTGAACCTGGATGTAAATCACTATGTCACTAACTACACTGTTTAGTTCTGCTGCTGAACTTTTTTTTTGTCTGTAGCATATTCTCAATGAAGGAAGCAAGGCATTGATATATATTCTGGCATGAGTTTTCCTGGTTGATGATAACAAAAGTTCTTTGGCATTTTATTACTATTCTGGAGAACGCCTTATGTAACTTTTATTGCGAGTTTTTTGTTTTGATTTGTGAAATTTTATAAGTTCATTATTTTTCCCTGTTCTTAGCAATTAAAATATGTTTAGATTTTATAGCCATTATAATAATAATTCAAGCAAGAATCATCAATGTTCTCCTGTAATCCTAGCACTCTGGGAGGCTGAGACAGGTGGATTGCTTGAGTTCATGAGTTTGAGACCACCCTGAGCAAAAGCAAGACCCCATTTATACTAAAAATAGAAAAACTGAGGCAAGAGGATTGCTTGAGCCTAAGAGTTGGAGGTTGCTGTGAGGTATGAGGCCACCACACTCTACCCAGGACAATAGCAAGGCTATGTTTAAAAAAAAAAAAAAAAAAAGAATCATCAATGTATAAGTAAAACATTAGATGAAAAAGGATTGGACAAATCTATTGCTAAAACATTAGATGACACTTTGGGAGGCTGAGGAGGGTGGATTGCCTGAGCTCACAAGTTCGAGACTAGCCTGAGCTAGAGTAAGACCCCATCTCTAAAAAAAAATAGCTGGGCGTTGTGGGCACCTGCAGTCCCAGCTACTCAGGAGGCTGAGGCAAGAGAATTGCTTGAGCCGAAGAGTCTGAGGTTGCTGTGAACTATGATGTCACTGCACTCTATGAGGGGAGACAGAGTGAGACTCTGTCTCCAAAAAAAAGATGAAACACTATTAACAAAACTATGGGTTACAGGCTGACCCGTGGTTTACTTAACTAATCAGAAAGGAGAAAACTGGCAGATGATACCAAGTCATCCGTCTTATTGATAGTGGGACAAACCAAAAACATGAGGGTGATAAAGGACATGTCACTTATATTCTGCTCTTGCTAAAATATTTAACCTGATTTTAATCATGATTAATCACTTTTGACAGGGATACTATGTAGGTGAGGAAACAATCAGACAAATCCAAATTTAGGGATATTTTGTAAAACATTTGGTGTGGACTCTTTAAAAAATGTTAAGACCATGGAAGACAAAGAAGACTAAGGATATATGAAACTCAGTGCTATATGTGAGTCTTGATTGACTCCTGGTCTGGGAGAAGAAAGCCCTAAAGGACATCATTAGGACAATCAGGTTTCTGTATTATATAGTATTGGTGACAAATTCCCAGTTTATATAAGCTGATATATTTAGGGGTGAAGTGTTAAGATGTATACAAGTAACTCTTAAGAGGTTGAGAGAAGGGTGGTGCCTGTGGCTCAGTGGGTAGGGCGCCAGCCCATACACCGAGGGAGGCAGTTCAAACCTGGCCCCGGCCAAACTGCAACAAAAAAATAGCCAGGCGTTCTGGTGGGTGCCTGTAGTCCCAGCTACTCGGGAGGCTGAGGCAAGAGAATTGCCTAAGCCCAGGAGTTGGAGGTTGCTGTGAGTTGTGATGCAGAAGCATTCTACCAAGGATGATAAAGTGAGACTCTCTCTCTAAAAAAAAAAAAAAAAAGAAAAGAGGTTGAGAGAAAATAAATTTAGAAAGCATAGAACGATGTTATCTTCATCATCAGAGCAGTAAGTTAGTGAAAAAACTGTGGGACTGCATTCTGTTTTACAGTGGATCAAGGAAATAGAGAAACCCTGGTTGAAAGTAAAAAGAACTGGCAGGGAAATACCAAGGAGGTATGTGTTGGGGTAGCCTGCAGAAAAAAATGAAAGGGATGACCCGAACTGGGGCTCACGACTAAAATGTTACTTTAGTATTTGTATTGTAGGAAGTCATCTCCTACTTTCTGACTCATTAATATTCTTATTTCTGCCCTTACCTTCTCTCACTTTTGAAGTCCATGACCAAGGCCTCAGGATTGACCATTGGTAGTTTATAGATGAGATAACAGCAGAAAGGAAAGGTAGATTTCTTGCATTTGATACAAGAAGTGTGATACATTGTCCCAGGAAATACTGTGTGATGATTAATTTTCATGCTACCAAAATACAATAAGCACAGTTATAATTCATAATATGAGAACTACCTTCTTGGGTTGTAGGCATATATTTTCAATAGGGGAGAGATTGGGTTTTGAGAAATGATAAAATCTTAGTTTTAGCATTGGTATATTATCTTGGTTTATATTATCTTGGTTTGTAGTCTTCTAAAATTCAACAGATACGCAATATATCAGTGTTATTAAAATTTCACGGAGGAGGGTGATTAGGAAAAAAACAAAAATACTTCACAGGAGTGATAAGGTTTATATTGTTAGACCAGTGTAAATGCAGAAAGAGAGGGCTCCTCTATGCACAGCTTGTCTTTCTAGCTGTACCTGTGAAATATCTTTATACCCTTAAAGTGTATGTCAATTTTTTTAATAATAAAAAGAAATATGCTGCTTACATTATTTACATATTTAATAACAGGGCATTTTTGATATTCTACACTATAGGGAAGCATGGAAAGCTCTTGGTGATGCAAGCCCCAGGCAAGCAATGCAGGAATATATTGCAGTCATTAAAAATTTAGATCCAGGCTGGAATCCTCAGGTAAGACTTAATGATTATAAATAATACTTTCTAAAAACTTATCTTTCTCTCACATCAGCGTTTGAAATGAAGCTTAGGCTTAAGTAACATGCTTGAAGTTTTACTTTTTTGCAACTGAAAAAGTTACTATAATATTTATTTAAGAATACTGTTCCTTATAAATGAACAATCAGTTACTGATGTTGAGAACTTCTCTGAATTATAGAGAATTTTTAAAAGCATAATTTTAATCACATAAGAACTCAGTTCGTGTCAGAATTTGAAAGAGTTTAACTTGAGGTCATTGTAATCCTGAGAAAAAGAAAGTTCCTCTTGGATGTTTTCTATGAGTACCTTCTGTGCAAGTACAGAATGTTGATTGATAAAGATAGAAAAGGAATAAGATATATATTTGCAATTATGTGGTCTAAGGTATAGAAAAGATAAAATGTATCAAACGTACGTGTTTAATAGTATAAAACAGGCAGCGCCCATAGCTCAATGGGTAGGGCGCCGGCTACATACACCAAGGCTGGTGAGTTTGAACCCAGCCTGGTCCAGCTAAAGCAACAGTGACAACTGCAACAAAAAAATAGATTGGAGCCTGTAGTCCCAGCTGCTTGGGAGGCTGAGGCAAGAGAATCACTTAAGCCCAAGAGTTTGAGGTTTATGTAAGCTGTGATGCTATGGCACTCTACTGAGGCTGACATAGTGAGACTCTGTCTCAAAAAAAAGTATAAAACAACAATAATGCAAATGGTAGGGAATGCAGCAGCAAAAGAGATTACTTTGGACTTTGGGAGCAGTGGATGTTGTTCCTTAAATATAACCTATTTTTCTGTTATACTTAGTGGAGAACATCTAGACAGAAGTCAGTACATATAGGGTTTCTATTTTATTTAAAATATTTTTAAACACATCTTTAACAGGTATTTCAGTAGAACAGAGGCTACACTGTACCATGTCAAAAATGCAAACTAAATTTTTTTCAATCAAAGTATTTAGGTCAAACATTTTAGTGGTGAATGAATTCAACAATTTTCAATGTTTTTATGATAACTGAATTATTTCCTGGGTACATAGTTGTTACTAGTATGAAGGAATTTTATTCCATCCATCATGAAATCATAAAATCTCAAAGTTTTAGATACCTTAAGTGATTATATATTATGACATACAAAGGTGTTTCTTAATTAATACAAGGGGGCTTGGTGCCTGTAGCTCAAGTGGCTAAGGCGCCAACCACATACCCCAGAGCTGGAGGGTTGGAATCCAGCCTGGGCCTGCCAAACAGTGACAACTATAACCAAAAAATAGCCAGGTGTTTTGGCAGGCACCTGTAGTCCCAGCTACTTGGGAGGCTGAGGCAAGAGAATCACTTAAGCCGAAGTTTAAGGTTCCTGTGAGCTGTGATGCCATGGTACTCTACCCAGGGCGAGAGCTTGAGGCTGTATCTCAAAAAAAAAAAAGAGTACAAGGGGAGAAGTAACCAACTTAGAATATGATATAATTGCCTTTGGGAAGTCATTGAAAAATTTCCTAATGTTTTTAAGGTGCATGAATATTTTTTTTAGAAATCTTTATGACTTTTATAAAACACCAAGCATGTATACAAATATATATTATGAAAGTATTAAGGTCTTAAAATTCGAAATTCAGTGGTCAAAGCAGACCAGGGCCCCCCCCCTGGACTCAGCCTGACTATATATGGCATAGTGTTTGAAAATGAGACAAAACTTGAATTTGAATGCCTTATGCAGAATACTTTTCAGGTCCACTCATTGTGGACTCATTCTTCCCTATTGATTTATACTTGACTATTGCTGATGCCAGACTGTGATTTCTTACCTTCCACACCTTAATTACTCAGTAAAAATTTATTAACTGTGACTCTTAAAAATGCTTGCAGATTCCCTGGAGTTAGGTGGTTTCTTCCTTATGGAAATCCAAACAGGTGTCAAAGATGGCTTTTTAAAAATATCTAAGTATAGGCCAGATGGAGTGGCTCATGCCTATAATCCTAGCACTCTGGGAAGCCAAGGTGGGTGGATAGCTTGAGCTCAGGAGTTCAAGTCCATCCTGAACAAGAGTGAGACCCCATCTCTACTAAAAATAGAAAAACTAGCCAGGTTTTGTGGCAGGCACCTGTATTCCCAGCTACTTGGGAGGCTGAGATAAGAGGATTGCTTGAGCTTAAGAGTCTGAGGTTTCTTTTTGCTATAATGCCGCAGCACTCTACCCAGGGCAACTGAGTGAGACTCTGTCTCAAAAAAATAAATAAATAAATAAATAAAAGAATAAAAATATCTAAATCTTATCTATTGAACATACTCTTGGGTAAGTAGAATCAAAGATATTTTCATATTCTTTAATGAATTATACATTAAATAATTAACTTAAAACTTAATGTGTTATTTAATACATTAAACAATGATACATTAAAATTATGTTAGTTTAAAAATAACAGAATCTAGTTGTAAAAAGGAATTTTATGTTTTATTTACATTTTAATTTTTAGTTTAAACACTGAGCTGGTTCCCTTTGACTCACAGCTTTTTTTTTTCTTTGCTCTTAGATTGGTAAGAGACAAATCATAAGCTCAATCTCAGAAGAGATTTGGTATTCAGTTTGTTATCTGAATAAGAATAATTTTCTTTTTGATATTTGTTTCTAAAAAAATAAGAGCAAGATTCATATTCTGAATGCTGAGTTCTTTGCATGTGTTGACCTTTGATAGCATCACAAAAATCTTAAGAGAAACTACTGTTAATTGCGTTTTAAAAATGAAGAAATTCAGGCATAGAGGTTTTGGAACTCGCCTAAAATTAGCCAGCAAACAAATAATGGCACTGGGATTTAGACCTAAGTTTAGGAGTCCAAAGCCCCATTTCTTTTTTTCTGACACAAAGTCTCACTGTGTTGCTGTTGGTAGAGTGCAGTCATGTCACAGCTCACAGCAACCTCAAACTCTTGGGCTTACGTGATTCTTTTGTCTCAGCCTCCCAGTAGCCCAAAGCCCCATTCTCAACTACTTTGCTGTCTGTTTTAGAGCTGACATTTGAAATATATCTGTAACATATAAATTTTTATATATGTATGTGTATAAGATAGTCAAGTAAAAGTAATTACTATTTTTGTCAAAGCTTCATGGTACCTTGAAGATGAATAATACTTTAAAATGCAACCCTTTGACCATGTTTTCTTTTATATTTCATCTTAAGAGTGTGTTGTTCATTGTCCAGTATAATCAAGGCATTTCTTTTGCCTTTATTTATTTGGTTCTAGGGAAATGGGATAAATTTTTATTTTGGTAATTTTTTTTGGCTCAGCACCTGTGACTCAAGTGGCTAAAGTGCCAGCCACATACACCTAAGGTGGCGGGTTCGAATCCAGCCCAGGCCCACCAAACAACAATGATGGCTGCAACCAAAAAATAGCTGGGCATTGTGGCGGGCACCTGTGGTCCCAGCTACTTGGAAGGCTGAGGCAGGAGACTTACTTGAGCCCAGGAGTTGGAGGTTGCCGTGAGCTGTGATGCCACGGCACTCTACCCAGGGGGATAGCTTGAGGCTCTGTCTCAAAAAAAAAAAAAAAAGGACATAATTTTTTTTAAAAGGTTTAAGAATAGAACAAGAAACTTCTATATGGCCTTTATCTAGATTTACCATTTTAAATTATTTATTTGTTGTTGTTATTATTTTTGTAGAGACAGAGTCTCACTTTATTGCCCTGGGTGGAGTGCTATAATTTCACAGCTCACAGCAACCTCCAATTCCTGGGCTTGGGTGATTTTCTTGCCTCAGCCTCCCAAGTAGCTGGGACTACAGGTGCCAGAATGCCCAGCTGTTTTTTTGTTGCAGTTTGGCCGGGGCTGGGTTTGAACCCACCACCCTTGGTATATGGGGTCGGTGCCCTACCCACTGAGCCACAGATGCCCCCCAGATTCACCAATTATTATTTTTGCTTTACCATACTCTGTCTTTCTTCACTCACACACACACACACACACACACAGAGTATATAACACACATGTTTGAAGAAATTTTTCTAAACTATTTGAGATAAGCTGGGTACATCATATCCTTTTATCACTAAATACTTGAGTGTTTATTTCCTACGTACATAAACCTTCTCTTGCGTAGTAGTTTCCCTACCCCCAATTCTCAGGGTGGATGTTCCAAGACCCCGCAGTGGGTACCTGAAGCTATGGATGGTACCAAACCCCATTGTCATCAATTGGAAAACATTCCTGTTCATGTCTTCTACCCACAAATTTAATGTCTTTTCCATCTTAACTAATTATTTGTCACTCATTGTGGCAATAACTTTTGAAGTGTTTTGAGGTTTGAGGTGTGATAGCAATAGCAAGAATTTCTTTATTCTTCACAATTTCACGAAGAGATTTGTTATTACTGTAAGTCTTAGTTTTAGATTATGATTTTTTATTTTGGGGGGGACAGAGTCTCACTGTGTTACCCTTGGTAGAGTGCTGTAGCATCAAAGCTCACAGCAGCCTCAAACTCATGGGCTTAAGCGATTCTTTTGCCTCAGCCTCCCAGGTAGCTGGGACTACAGGTGCCCACCACAACCGGCTATTTTTTGTTGCAGTTGTCATTGTCATTTAGCTGGCCAGATAATAAATTTGGGGGAGGAATACCACAGATTTTGGCCTTTTCAATGAGTTACATCAGGTAGTACATATTATTTGTCCCAGTAGTGGTAATATTAACTTTGATCACTTGGTTAAGGCAGTATCTGCTGGATTTTTCTACTGAACTTCCTATTTTTTTCCTTTGTAATAATTTGTAGGGAGATACTTTGAAACTATACGTAGATATCCTTTTCCTAAACAGATCTTATCCACTAGTTTAAACATGAGTTAATGATTTTCTAACTCTATAATTGCTTCTCTACTTATTATTTAGCATTCTGCTATAGGGATCAGCTTTCCCTTTTCCCTCCTTTTATTTATTTATTCATTGTCAAGAACTGTGAAAGGTCTGAGATTTTTACCCCATTTG